CTAACTAACAACAAATTTTTTCGATTCCTTAGAAGAGATGATTCATGAAAGGTGCAGAGAGAGAATAATTAATAATTTTTGCATTACTGTTATTTGCTTTGAAAATTCTTGCTAGGCAAGAGTTTTCAAAGCAAATAACAGTAATGCGAAAGGACGTTACAACACATTTTTTCCCTGTTTTCTTTTCATTGCATGCTAACACTATGAAGCGGCTGTCAATACGATAGCTATATGGTGATGTCAGTAAAATGTCACTGACATTCTCATTGCATAGTTATCTAACTGATAACAGTTGCTAATAGGAAAGAGTTCTTTTTCAATTCTACTCTAAACCAGTCATTTTCCTATCAAGAGCTCTTTATTTTGATATTATGCGGACTTCCCTGACCATTTTATTCTTTTTCAGTGATCATAATAGTTAATTCACGACTCCGGTTATGTTCACTAAGGGCGAAATAGCAAGTTTGATAATCGGCGTTGTGTGTCTTATTGCCTCTGTAGTAATGTTCTTCACATTTCCCATTATCTATCCTCAAATGGTTGTTAAGGTAAATATCCATGTCATGGTATGGTACGTATATTTCTTAAACCTTCTTCGATCATTTAGAATCTGCAGTTCACCCAAAAAGACGATGGGAATCTTGGCTATTCAACTCTTAAAATGGCTAATCCACCAATGAGGAATATTATGAAATTCTACTTTTTTAACATAACAAATCCAGACGAAATGGTGTACGAAGGTGCTCAACCACGTCTTTGTGAAACTAAAGCTTATGCAGTAATGTAAGTACTTTATGAACTTCCGACAAAGATTCTTAATAGATGTTATAATAGATCAGCCGATTCATTAGATGCTTTTTGGTCTTTATCAAAGATTTTTTTTTGCTTAACATGAGATGGACGCATAGATTGCTTATCAGCAAGGTGCTTTCTTATGTGGCGATATGCAGATACGCTGTTGTCCTTTATGTATGCAATATAGTCACGCCATTGAAAGCCACCACTGTTCATAATTGCTGTTAGAACGTTTCAAAGATCTATGGAAATTCTATGGTTTTCTAAACCCAAAAACAAAACTATTCTCAGCGACTTAATATGGGTGGATTCAAGTAAGAGTTGATTAGCTGAATGCAAATTAAGAAGAAATGTCTTGTATAAACTTCATATGTAAGAGGAAATTGAAAATAAATTCAATGAATGTTGAATGAAGTGTAGAAAATACACCACACATTTTTACATTTTTCGGTTGATATAGGTTTTCGATAAGTTGTTATAAAAACTTAATGCTTCCCATTCTGAATTCACCTCTGGAATGTGAAATATCAAAGAACAAATCTATAAAACAACTATAATTAGACAAGTTTACTAAATCAAAGCTTATTTCATATCACTTATTGATGGCGTTTTATAACCTTTTTGGATACTTACCTCTCCACGCTTTTTTGAATGTTGACAAGACTATG